ATTCACAATTCAAATTATTGTAGCTAGCAATAGGGCTAATAGCATTTTGGATAGCATCTGTAGAAATACTGAATACAAGACAAGGGATATTATTGTTTCACTGTATAGATCACTTGTAAGGCCTCATTTAGAGTATTGTGTGCAGTTTTGAGATCCCTTCCTCAAGAAGGACACTGAATTGTTGGAGACGGCTCAGAGAAGAGTCACCAGGATGATACATTGATGATGGTGGGATTGTCCTTTGAGGAGAGACTAAAATCTCTAAACTTGTTTTCTCTGTAGAGGAGAAGTGTCAGAGGGGATTTGATTGAGGTGGTTAAGATTATTAAGGGTATTGATAATATAGATCAATCAAACTTTATGTTTAGCAGTGAAAACAATAGGACAAGAAGTCATGTATTCAAATTTTGGCAGTATAGGAGTCGTCTGCAGTTTAGCCAGTATTACTTTTCAAACAGGGTGGTTGGTATTTGGAACGAGCTGCCTTCAAGCATGGTGGACGAAGAAAATTTAACTGAGTTCAAGAAAAGATTTGATAAACACAAGAGTAGTAAGGGGTGGTTATAGTTGGGAGCTGGAAGGGACATCCTTGATGGGCTAATAAGCTCTTTTTTGTCATTTAAAATTTTATGAATATCCCAGAAGTATCTCTTCTCCGTTTATAAATATCTGACAAAACAGTAGTTGTGACTAGATTATGCTACAGAAAATAACATCTATGGCTGAATTAACATACAACTTTGACCAGTTTTATAATATTACAGCTTAAAACTTTAGAAAAAATTAAATAATTCTGTAAGTTTAACATACACTACAATAAAGTGAGATATGTGGTATTTGCATACCATACATTGATGCATATCATTCATTAATCCAACAGTAACAATGAACAAGAATTAGATTATCAGTGATAGTACATAATTATTTTAAGGTGAAGAACTTTTGTTTTGTATTTAGTTTACAAACACTTGACAGCAATTCAAATTCTTAAACATTCTAAAATAATTGGGCACAACTCACAGTTATTATATTCAAGCACTAAGTAAAATATACAATGATTTTTATTATTTCAGATAAATTATTGATTGTGTACATGAACTGAATCTTCATGAATTATAGATATGTACAGGAAATGTTTACATAAAAATGGAAAAATAAATGTCTCAGAAATTACACAAAGTATCATTACTTTTAAAGCATATTTAGTAAATAAGTAAAATCTTTTTGGATTTTTGTCTCACATTCAACAAAGTACAATATATCTAAAAAATAGGAGAAGACTGCACAGTATATATGCACTTTTAACTGCAATAACCTTTAAAACATGGCTTAGTGCTAATGATATTTAAATGACAATACCTTTTAAGTTTTTAAACCAAAACAGGCAATCTGAATTGCTGCATAACATATATTAAATAATTGTAAAATTGTTTAATTTCAGTAGTCATTATTAATTATTAAACTTGACATCTATACTGCTTAAACCATTAATATTATTATTTGTTGTATTTTTCAACAAAAGCATTAATCAATACTCAATGGTTACCTCAAAGTGAGTCAAACCTTTAGGTAACAATTAGTTAAGTAACATTATGAAAATCAGTATAAAAGTATTTGATCAAGTAATAAAAATTAAGTTGATAATAAAATATTTCATTTCATCGGTTACATTTGAATTAAATATTAAATTAAATATATACTGTAGAAATTACATTTTTAAAGGTAATTCAGATTAACTCTTATTACAAATAAGGTTAAAAGCAGTTCATGTTTTCATTAATCTTTATAATATTCAGTTTATCATAAGATATGTATTATTAATTTATCTATGTTTTTCAAATATCATCTAAGGAAAATAAGTCAGAATGAAACAATATTATGGAGTCTACACATAAATAATCAATTACACAAAGATGCAGATAAATGTTTTTATTTTCTTTGAAAGTCAAGAGGTAGCTAAACTTGAATCATTGATAGCTATATACTTATGTTATAGAATATTTTCTACACCCAAAATTTTTATTTTCATTATTCTAAGTAATACACTATCCTTCTAAAAGTATTTGTAAACTCCTTGAACACATGAAGTTGCCAAATGAGCATGCTCTTTTAGGGTATTGAAAAAGCCTAAATACAGAAACATTCTATATATATATTTCATTAATGTTGAAGTGTGAGAAAGGAAAGATAACACATGGCTAGAAATGGGAAAATTAGATACATGAAATAGTTGCAATTCTTGGTTTGCACAGTCTATTATACATAAGATAATTAAGAGTATCAGAAACATAGTATTACAATAACTGAAAAGTATTCTTTGGTCATGACAAATTCTCAGTCATCAGAATTGTAAAAAGTACTGAAAATACGTTTTGCAACTACCCCACAGTTAATGTGGTTACAAGTGAAGGGCCACTGTCTTTGAGGTCTGTGAACATGAAATAAACCAATTTCAGGGTCTATGGTAGTTTTTTGGTCAGACAATAAATGTTTCGAACTGGTTGATGCTTCCTGTTACAAGGCACTACAACACATCTCTAGTTTCATAGTGAAAATATAAAGATTTTAGAATAGCCTGCTCAGAGCACTGATTATAACCTAATAGAACATCTTTGAGACCATCTGAACAGTTTAATTGAAAGGTTAGACTATAATTTTTCTCAATCATCATGATCTGTTGAAACAAAAATTGAGACAAATTGCACCAGATTCCTGTTGCATACCTTACAGAAAAGCCACCTACACTTATGGTTAGCAAGAATTGTATTAAACTATGACTAAATCTCAGTATACTTTTGACAGAGCAATGAACCCCTACAACAACGAAATAGTTTAATTGCTGTTCTTTATAATAAAACTTTAATTACTATATAATATTTATTGAACTAAAAGACTTACAATATTTGCTTTCTCTAAAGCATGTTGAATGTCTGGATCCATTCCATCATGGTATATGGACATTGTTATTGTGTTGATAGCAATACAAAATCCAACAAAAAGTTCAAGTCCTGGGTGCTTGGCTATTTTGTAGCAAAACAGTTGGCATCTACGAAGGAATATGACCAAATGTTTTCTTCTGATAACTGTCCAGCAAAATACAATAAAAATTTCTACATTACATAAAAATACTGTGAATGTCACAAGTCTTTTTTTGACCATATATGAACTATATTCAGTTAAAATGTTTTGTGTTGCTTCTTGAAGATGAGAATCATACTGTGTTATTTTCTAAAAGTATTACATGTCCAAGCTTAATCATCAACTATATCTGAAGAACAAAAAACATTTCTAACAAGTTAGTGATAATAATCTAAATTAGCCAAAACATAGTTTAAACCTATACAATAAGGGAAGAAACCCAGTTTATCAAATTAATCAACTTACTTGCAATATTTTTGAATTGTTAAAGAATCACTAACCTTCCTCTTCAGGTGACTCTTCTTTATCAGCAGCTTCAGTATGAACCTAAAAATTTATATATTATCTCTATTAACATATTTGTATTGGAACAAAAAGCCTTTTCTTTAGAAGGTCAAGAATAAAAGTTATAATTTTCCTCTGCTAAAAATGTATTTCCGAGAGGTACTTCCCTCCTTTCACAAGATTAGCCATTCTCGTTCATTGCTGCCCTCTATATGCAAACTTTTTACTTTGCGCATCCCACAGACCTGCTCCCCCCTATTGGAATCAAGTGATTCTAATCTGTCTCTCATGCAAATCATCTTTACACCAAAAGGAGCATAGTACATGATGCATGTGACTCCCTCTAAGCACTTCTACCAAACTATTACTTGGCAGAAAATGGAAGCACTGGAAGTGTGTGGGGAGAAAGGGTGGGAAGTACCTATCAGAAATACATTTTCAATATAGGAAAATTATAACTTCCTAAACAGTACTTCCCTCTGCTTACAAGATTAGCAAGAATCCCATATTGATTAGGAGGAGGGAGTGGTGCTAGGGAAGAACAGATGCACCCCCTGAAATCAGAAACACCAGCCACAATTGGCTGAGCAGCTGAAACACCCACGGAATGGGACCATGCTGTGAAAAACCTTCCACTTATGTTGATATAGGTCCATAGAAGAAAAATGTATGAATTGAGCCAAATGAAAAGCTACATGCTGTGAGAAAACAGATCTCCTTGTCAAGTACTGAACAAAAAAGCCAGGCGTGAATGGCGGGATGTAGAACTGGTGACTGGGGTTGACAAAGGAGGTCAGAAATAAGGGAAGTGGGACAGGAGGAAATAATTGGAGTTGGTACAAATGAGGGAACCGTGGCTGAGCTGGCCAATAGGGAGCAATCAGAAGGACCCAGCATGGAGTGGAGTGGCAGGGATCTGGGAAACCACCCAGTGAAGTAATTGGATGGGAGGAGAAACATAGAGAAATTTGTGTGACCACTCCTGGCTGAAGGCATCAATAGCCAAAGCCTGAGGATGAGGTGCCAGGGACCAAAAGAGAGGTAACTTGTGATTCAGGGTGGTGGCAAATGCATCAATTTGAGGAAAACCCCACCAATGGCAAATCCACCAGAAAACGCATGGATGGAGTGACTACTCCGTTGAATAAATCTTGTCAGGGCTGGGAAAGATGAGGCTGAAAGTACCTGGAACATGACATGCAATTAAACGAATGTGTTGCGTGTGGGCCCAGTAGAGGAGATCCAATGTACAAAAACAGAGGGATCTCGACTGGGTGCCCATTTGGTGATTGATATATGCCACCACCATCAAATTGTTGGAGTGAATCATCACCAGACAATGGTGGGTGAGAGGAAAGAAGTGATCCAAAGCTAGATGGATGGCTAGAAGCTCTAGGACATTGATATAGAATGACTGTTTGTCCTCCAACCAAAGCCTCCTGGTGATAGACCCATACGCCCCAACCCTGAAGGGATGCATCTGTAAAGAGATGTAAATCTGGACATGGAGGAGGAAGCAAGACTACCATCGATGCATAAGCCTCGTCCAACTACCAAACCAGATTGTCTGCAAGGGAGGGTAATAGAGGTGTCCAGGGGATCCTGAGCAAGGTTCCATTGAGATTGCAGAGTCCTCTGGAGGGAATACATGTGTACACAACCTAGGGGAACTAGAAGGGTCATTGAAGTCCACATCCCCAAAAGTGACAGAATCTCGCATGTAGAAAGTGAAGGAGCAGTCATGGCATGACGAACTGACAATTCAGTTGAATGTAGTCAGAGAGGAGAAGGCTGGGCCCAACTGAAGTGAATGATGAAAAAGACACCCAAGTAGACAAGGTATTGGGTATGACTTCTCCAATTTAATTAACCAGCCCACCCAAACAGCCACTTGAAGGAGTTGATGAGTATGACTGGCCGATTCCCATTTGGAATGTGCCAGAAGAAGTCAGTCGTCTATGTAATAATGGAAATGCAGCCCCAGAGTATGAAGTTGAAGAACAAAAGCCCTCACCACCCGATAGAAAATATAAGATGCCAAAGTGAGCCCAAAGCCCAGTTGTTGGTCGAGATAAGGACTGTCAGCATGATGATAATCGAGGGCAGACTGATCCAAGGCCCTTGGGGGACAAGACATGCTAACACT